CCAATGTCCAAACGCCGAATGAAAAACGCTCCCAAGCCTCAACGCACCAGGGGGTGCTTTGGCACATGTTTTTCCTCATGTGTGTGTTGGTCGTGTTCGTTCCTCATCTACTGGCATCAGGTACGCTCATGGTGTCCGTGGTGTTTGTACGTTACCCGTGTGTCTGTCATAGATGTGCATGATCTGTTGCGGATGTTCCGTCTGCACGTTTGTTATGTGCGTTCGCGTATGAGTGTTGTGATGTGTTCCGTAAGCAGCTTGTGCCCGAGAGCCACCCACTTCCGCCGAGTTTCTCACCGGCCGAGCTCGCTGTCCCTGGGCCCCGCGCCGACCTCTCGGGCCGGGCGAAAGGGGGGGATTGGGAAAGGGGGGGTTACGAAATTGAATGCATGCAGCTGGTTTCGGCCCCACCGAGGGGCCCATTCCTCGATACATGGGCGCCTCCGGCGCCGGGAGGCGCCGGGGAAATCAGCTACGCGAGCTGATTCTCAACCCCCTCCTTTGCTATCCCCCCCTTTCGCCCCGCGCCGACCTCGGGCGGCGCTGCCCGCCCGGCCGCGGAGCAGCGCCGGCTGGTTGCTGGCGCATGGCGGCCGCGCTGGAGCCGAGGAGGTTGGCTCAAGTCGGGCCTGTCCCTCTGCCCGAGGCATCTCCAGAAGCAGTCGGCAAATAGTCCGGGGACGACTGCTCGATTCTTTTTTGGCTATTGTGGCGTATCTGTGGGACTGTGTTTCATGTGGCGTCCACAATCCGCCTGCGGGGGGACCTGCCCGACCCGAAGGCTGGCCGACGCGCAGGCACGCCATGCCCAGGAGGTCGAGGAGCTGCGCGGCCGCCTGGCCGCGGCCTGCCCGGGCCGGGAGCCGGACGACCTCTTCCTGCTGCGGTACGTGCTGTCCTACGAGGGCGGAGGCCCGGGCGCTGCCGCGGCCGCCGCTCGCGCGATCGCGTGGCGCGAGAAGCACAGGGGGCTGGTGGCCGCCGCCCAGGCGTGCACGGACGAGCTCGCGTCGGAGCCGCTGAAGGATCCGGCGGGGGACAGAGCACACGGGCACGATGAATCGTCGATTCCCCCGGAAACATGGGAAAAGGTGGGAAGCGGGGGGAAGACGAGAACCCAGGAAACATGGGAAAATATAGAAATCTTGGGATTTGTGTGTATTTATTTAATCGCTTCGCTCATTCCGCCGGCCCGTATTGTGCCATCGCAGGCGTTTGCTTGCGCGTTCGTGGCCTCTTGGAGCCTCGTTGGGGCCGTTTGGGGCCTCTTGGCGCCTCTTTTTAGGCCTCTTGGAGAACTCGGGAGGCCTCCAGGGGGCCTCCTGAGCTCTCGTGACGGTCTCTTGGGGGGCTTTCGGCGGGCTCTTGGCGGTATTTGTTGGTCCTCTTGGGGCCTGGGGCCTGACGTTGTTGGTCCTCTTGGGGCCTCACGGGAGCTTATTGGGGCGTCTTGGGGGTGTCTTGGAGAGTCTCTTGGGGCCTCTTTCGGGGTCCTGGGCGCCTTCTGGGGCGGAGGGCTCGATTTTTCAGTTCTCGGTTCCCTTCTTGAGCCCCTCTTGGGCCCGTCTTGGGGCCTCTTGGTCCGCCTTGGGCAGCACTTGGGCCGTCTGGGGGGCGCTCTTGGGCCGCTCCGGGGCCGTCTTGGGAGCCTCGTGGGCCGTCTTGGAGCAGTCTTGAAGGCCTCTTGGGCCCTCTTGGAGCGTCCGGAAGCGAAAAGGCCAGAACGCAAAAAAACATAGAAAAAACAAATGAAAATCAACGATTTTGGCAACTTGGGGCCCTCTTCGGAGGCCTCTTGGAAGGCCCTTGGAGCGTCTTGGAGGCCTCTTGGGCTGTCTTGGGGCCATCTGGGGCGTCTTCGGGCGATCTTTGGCCGTCTCGGGCCTCTCTTGGACCGTCTAGAAAGCTTCTCGGGGCCCTCTTGGACCGATCTGGAGCCCTCTTGGACTCCGAAACAGAACTCCGGCATCTCTGACCCGACCTTGCCGGGACCTTGCCGGGGTACTTTTCGTCCGGGGACCCCCAGGGGCCGCCCCGCGCGCGCGAACTAGAAATACTGTTAACCAGGTACCGGAGATCTTAGCACGCCCTGGCCCGTTGGGCCGGCGAATTTGTGTGTCCCTGGGCCCCTTGAAAGGAATGGATCAGCCTGGAGCACCTGCGGGTCATAGATTCTTGCCTGGTCGCGAGGTTTGCTGGGCAGACCAGCACCCCGCAGGGCTTCCCGCTCTACGTGATCCACTCGGGGCGGTGCAGGCTGCGGAAGCTTATGGACACCGTGGACATCAAGTCCGTGGCTTTGTGGCTCACTTGGCGCAACGAGATCGGCTACTGGCGCTGCGATGCCGCGACCCGTCGCAGCGGCCTGCTGATGAAGCAGGTGGTAGTGATGAGCATGGAGGGCGCGCTGATGTCAGGGCAGGACCCGCGCTTCTTCGTGTCCTACGGAAAGTCTTCCAAGCGATCCGAGTACCTCCACCCGCAGCTGCTCGCGCGGCAGGTCGTGGTGCACCCCCCCGCCTACATTCGGAGGAGGGCCCGTTGAGACAACGACGGGGAGACAACAGCGGCCCTCCCGCCCGGCCCACGTCCGCTCAGCATCGCTCCGCGGACCCCTCCTGGGGCCGCAACGCACCAGTTTTCCGAGCTGCGTCCATCGGGGGCCCCCAGACGGGGTGGTGACCACACCGTGTGGGGCCACCGCACGGTTTTGGGCCTTGGGTCGTTCTCCGAGGATGTCTCGGGCGACTGGGGCCTCCAGGGCCCCAAGACCTCTCGGCGACGGACCGTGCGGGGAGGTCTCTTGGGGTCCCTGGAGGAGGAGGAGGAGGAGGAGGAGGAGGAGGAGGAGGAGGAGGAGGAGGACGACGAGGAGGAGGAGTGAGGATGGAGGGAGGAAGGGAGAGGAGGGAGGATGGAGGAGGATGAGGAGGAGGAGGAGGAGGAGGATGGAGGAGGAGGACGGGACGAGGAGGAGGATGGAGGAGGGTGAGGTGGGGGGGGGGGGGGCGGAGGTAGGACGGAGGTCCGTCCAGCCGTGGCGACGAGGGGCCCCCGCCCCGTGAGCAACAAGCAGGCCAGCCCGGGTCTCGGCTGGCCCCCCTCCGCTCCGTGTCCTACCTCTGGGGCCTAGGCCGCCGCCTGGTGAGCGAGCGGCTGCTGGCCAAGGTGCACGTCCACAGCGGCCCGCCCGAGGAGCACCTCCTCCTCCTCTTCCTCCTCCCTCCTCTCCTCCTCCTCCTCCTCCTCCTCCTCCTCCTCCTGCCTCCTCCTCCTCCTCCTCCCCTCCTCCTCCCCTCCTCCTCCTTCCCCCGCCTCCCCACCTCCTCCTCCCCCTCCTCCCCTCCTCGCTCCCCTCCTCCTCCTCCTCCTCCCCCCTCCCCCTCCATCCTCCTCCTCCTCCTCCTCCTCCTCCTCCTCCTCCTCCTCCCCCTCCCTCTCCTCCTCCTCCTCCTCCCCCTCCTCCTCCTCCTCCCCCTCGTGGTGAGCGATCGAGCGGCCCCCGCCGAGGAGCACCTCCGGGAGTACTTCGGAGGCGGCGCCCTCCCCGCGCCGCTGCTCGCGGCCCTGCGCGCCGAGGCCGGCCCCGCGGCGCCGGCGAGGCGGCGCGCCCGCCTCCGGGCAGCCCGCGGCGGCCGCCGCGCCCCACGGCGCCCCGCCGCACGCCGCCGAGGCCGAGTCGAGCAGTGATGAGTAGTGTGCTTTCCGGCCACGCGCAGACCCAGACCCCCTCGAGTAATGAAAAAATCACGACGGGAGGTTTTTCCCAATTTTCGGCCTCCGGGGGCCCTCACCGGGCCTCGGGAGCCTCAAAAAACGACTCAGGATGCAAAGCCGGTCATGGGGAAAGGGTCGGGCCTCTGGAGGTCGACGCAATGAAACAATCATTACGTCGGGGGTCTGGGGAGGGGGGTGGGGGGAGGGGGGAGGGCTTCTTCGAGGCACCCCTGCTTCTCAGAAGGCGCGGGCCTCATCTGCTGTAGAGGTGAGGCCGGCGCCTTCTGAGAAGCAGCCTGCTTCTAAGAAGCCCTGCCCCCTCCCCCCACCCCCTAGTGCGCGCCGCCAAGCTTTGGTGTCGTGTCCGCCTCTGCTGCTGTCGGTCTCATGGAATCGCTTCGCTCCTTCCGCCGGCCCATTTCGCATGACTGAGCCTCTCGGGGCCGCTGGGGGGCCTCTTCAGCGTCGCTTGGGGGCCTCCTGAGGGCCTCTTGGAGGCTTTTGGGGCCTCTCAGGGGCCTCTTGAGGCCTCCTGGGGGCTTCTTAAGGCCGAGGGCTCGAAGTTTTGTTCTGTGTTCCCCCTTATGTCGTGTCCGCTCTGCTGCTGTCGGTCTCATTTATGTGTTCTGATTGCGAAGGCCTTGCGGCCGGCGCCGCGGGCCCTGGAAGACGACGAGGGTCAAAGGGAGGGGGGTCGGGTGCAGGATGAGGAGGAGAAGCGGCAGGAGGAGGAGGAAGGGGTGCAGGAGGTGGACGAGGGAGGAGGACGGGGGGTAAGGATAAGGAGGAGGAGCAGGGATTGGGCGGAGGAGGAGGCAGAGGATAGCAGGAGGGGGGGAAGCAGGGGGGGGGGCGGGCAGGAGGAGACGGAGGAGGAGGAGGGGGAGGAGGAGGAGGAGGCGCTGTGGCTTTCTTGGCTCTTTTGGGAGCAGCTTTGCATGGTTTCGGGGGGGTCGAGGCGGGAACGTATCTGGGCGGCGTTTCCCCTGAGACCCACCCGGGGAAGCCTGCCTGGGACTCCTCTCCTCGTGGGGAAAAAGTGCAAGGAAGGGGCTTCCAATCGACTGCACTAAGGACGTTGTTCAGTTTCGCTGGAAATCGTCCTCAACGACGTCCAGAAGGCTTCTTGGATCGTCTTGAGGCCATCTTGGCCGTGTTGGGCCGATCTTTGAGCGACCTGGGGGTCGTTTTGGCAATCTTGGGAGCCATCTTCGGCATTCTGCGTTCTTTGGGGGGCTGTTCGATATGTCGGGGCCGCCCTGGGGAAAACGAATCTGGATGGC